CTGCTGGTCGTTGTCTCCGTCCTGGACGGAAAATGGGGGGTGGTCGCTGCCTCCGGATGTGTTTTCTCTGTGGAGCGAGCGGGATAAGCCGAACTGTATTTAATGAACTGGTTATATTAATAAAGCTGTGGCGGTAGCTATCTTAAAGCCAGGAGGCACGACCCCCAGTTTGTTTCTGTAGGTATTTACCCAAAATATTATTTAAAATGAATGATGGAAGCATCTCTTCTTCCCTGAAAAAAACTCTGTCTGTTTTGCATTGCAAAACTTGCCTGGCTTGTGTTGTCGTTTAAACTCCACGCCGCTGCGTTCCCAGGGGATGCAGAGAGTCTTCTGCCACCGTTCCCTCTGAATCAGGCCTGTATGTTGGCAAAGACTGCCCTGCATCCTATTAGTCTTCTCTTTGGCCACAGGCAACAACATCCCTAGCCCTCCCTTACGGGCTGTGGAGGCTCAGTTCTCCCTGGCTGGCCATGAAGGCTGTTTAGCTGGGTCACACTACAGGAAAGCTTTGGACCAGAACATTGGAGTCCAGCCAATGTCTTACGATGATCAGGATCATTTCATGTGTCTGCTCCTCCTTTTTTCTTTTTTTAAGTAGTATTCCAGTATTTCTATCCCCTACTAGCGATCTACTGTAAGCTTTTTTTAGTGTTGATGCGAATACCTAGCTAATCCTTCTTCATCCTGTATTTCTACAGAATATGCTTATTAGTGTGTAATTAGTGTATGAGTGTGGGTTTTTTGTTTGTTTGGGCGTTTTTTTCTGTTTTGGGTTGCTTGGGGTTTTTTTTGGCTGAATGCTTTCTTTTTGTCAGGTAAATCCTATTATTTGTCTGTCCATTTGTGCAGTTTGCCAAGGTGGCTTTAAAATAAGATCCTGTCCTCCAACATGCAGGTAGCCCCTCCCCATGCTGTGATACATGTAAATTTCAAAAGTGTTTTTGTCATTGAAATTATTAATCAGAATATGGGATGATGCTGAACCCAGGACAAATCCTGTACAATTTTTGGCACTGTCCTAATCTAGTAGTGATTTTTTTGTTCAACAACAAGTAGTTGGAAAAACACCTTTCACTGCTTTCATTACATCATGTTTTGCTGCTTTGATGTGGGACCACGATAAAATCTGCAGTAGTGGCAAAACATTTAATCTCTGTCTCTCAGCTGTTTACTTGATCTATTCCCAATCATAGGTTTCTCAAAATTAAATCATACTAGTTGCCTAGTTTCTTTCTCTCTTCGTTCTTTGTGCTTTAGATATGCTCAGGGAAGATGATATGCAAAATATATTTTTATGTAATTGGTCTATGGCATAAATCTGAGCATAAATCTATGGTATAAATCTGAGCTCTTACTTCTTTTTTAGTGATGGCACATGGCAATTCTTTTACAGGGCGCTATTTTCCAAAACGACCCAAGTACATGCTTATAGTTGAAGCAAAGTTTGATGGTGAACAGTTGGCTACTGATCCCGTAGAGCATACTGATCAGCCAGAATTTGCTACGGAATTGGCTTGGGAACTTGATAGGAAAGCGCTTCATCAGCACAGGTAATATTAGAAAATTAAGTCTAATTTGGAGATAAAATTTAATTTTCTTGTCTTTACAGTTACTTAAATACAATTTTGTGTTACTGTCATCTGATTTTTTTTTTTTTCAGAAACTTTCTTCTAGCGGTACACTGATCTACCATAATGTTGCCACAACAAACAAAAGTAGTATGTGGCAAGATAGGTGATGTTTAAAAGTTCTAAAGGGTATGTTTTTACACTGCTGGAAGAAACCCAAGAGCTTACTGCAAATTAATAATGCTGTAGTTCAAGCATTGGATTCAAGCTTTCTTATGTATACTGTGGCACAGAATTAACTAAACTTCAAGCCTGAAAAGCCCAAGTAAAATATTTTTGAAAATGTCAAATAGAAGAGCTGAGAAATGGAATAAGATTTCCATAACTGTCACTTTTGTTTCATGGAATCATAGAATGTCCTGAGTTGGAAGGGACCCACAAGGATCATCGAGTCCAACTCCTGTCCCTGCATAGGACAGCCCCACAATTCACACCATATGTCTGAGGGTGTTGTCCAAATGCTTCTTGAATATTGTCAGGCTTGGTGGTGTGAGTACCTCCCTGGGAGCCTGTTCCAGTGCTCCACCACCCTCTGGGTGAAGAACCTTTCCCTAATGTCCAACCTAAACCTCCCCTGGCATATCTTCCTGCTGTTCCCTTGGGTTCTATCATTGGTCACCAGGGAGAAGAGATCAGCACCTGCCCATCCTCTTCTCCTTTTGAGGAAGCTGTAGACCATGATGAGGTCGCCCTTCAGTCTGCTCTTCTCCAGGCTGAACAGACCAAGTGACTTCAGCCACTCCTTGTACAGCTTCCCCTCTAAACCCTTTACCATCTTCCTGGCTGTCCTCTGGACACTCTCTAGTAGCTTTGTATCCTTTTTGTACTGTGGGGCCCAGAACTGCGCACAGTACTCGAGATAAGGCCGCACCAGTGCAGAGCAGAGCGGGACAATCGCCTCCCTTGACCGGCTAGCAATACAGTGCTTGATGCACCCCAGGAAACGGTTGGCCCTCCTGGCTGCCAGGGCCCACTGTTGGCTCATGTTCAACTTGCCATCAACCAGAACCCCCAGATCCCTCTCTGCGGGGCTGCTCTCCAGCCTCTTGTTCCCCAGTCTGTATGTACATCTGGGGTTTCCCTGTCCCAGGTGCAAACTCTGGCACTTGCCCTTGTTAAACTTCATACGGTTGGTGATTGCCCAGCTCTCTAATTTGTCTAGATCTCTCTGCCCTCAAGAGTGTCAACAGTTCCTCCCAGTTTTGTGTCATCGGCAAAGTTAGATAGTAATCCTTGAAGTGCTGCATCCAAGTTCTTTATGAAGACACTAAAGAGCACTGGCCCAGTTTTTGACTGACAGGTTATAATATTACCTCTGTATTTTCAAAGAAATTAAAAAGGCCATATTATGTTTGAAGTTTGAGAGAAAAACACCTAAATGTACCGTATGCTAGACATATTATCTATGCCTCTATTTATTGTTAGGTGCTTTGCGCAAAAATCTTTTGCGTAAGTCCTATTTTTAAGATACCTTCACAAGTGAAATTCCAATTTCATCTGAGGTGCAGTGCTTATTTCTTATACATGGATGAGATTGAATTTATTTGTCACTAGTGCCTTTTTAATAGCCCTTGAGGCTCTGTGAGACTTCAGTATGTTCCTCTTACAGAATTAATCCACTTGTTTGTTATCTCACTTAATGATGAATTTTTAGACATTCAATATAAACTCAGTTTCTGACCTACTAAAACTAGTTATGTAACAAATAAATTTTGTGTCATTAGTATGCTTGAAACTTATTAGTTATTTTTGTGAACTAATTGCAGAGATAACTTTTACATTTTGGATTTCAACTGAGTTATTCTTTCAGGCTGCAGCGTACACCTATCAAACTACAGTGTTTTGCATTGGATCCTGTGTCTTCAGCTAAAGAGAATATAGGCTATATTGTACTTGATTTAAGGGCTGTGCAGGAAAAGAAACAGGTATGTTATGGGGTATAAAGCTTTAAAAATTTGTTTTGACAATACTGTTACAGATAGTAGGATTTGAATTAAGGCACAGGCATAACTTTCGAGTCTTGTTTTGGAGTATGACTCCCAGTTGATCACATACTTCTCTTTTTTTTTTTTTTGAGAAGGGACATCTTGACTCTATATAAGAACATGGGCAAATGAAAATACTTTATACTAATCTTGCACTTCTGAATTTGGGAATTGGAACACTGTAAGCAATACTTTTAAGCAATTCTATTATTTAATCACCTGGAAAAATTTATCAAAGCAATTGATATTGAGCAATTGAATTGAGTCTCCGTCATCAAATCAAGTCTTAAGTATTTTGAATGGGCCTCTATGGAAGATGTGTTAGGTGATCAGAAGTTCTAGCCCCTTAACACAGCATAGAGTAAACATAATTGTTTATATAAATTTAATTCATCAAAATTCTATGTTGTGCTTGATCAAAACATAACTCTGATATGGATCATGACAGGACTCTTGTGTCTTATTTTGACATCACACTTCTTACAGATTTGTGAACCATATAACTTATTGTGCACTTTTGGTTGAGAACTTGAAGATTTTCTCTTCTAATTAAAGATTTATGGCATATTTTTCTTGCTAACTTGTTTACTGTACAAATCCTTGAGAAAGAATATGTTCAGCTAGTCTTCCAGGAATTATTCTGTAGAATCTTTTAGTATAATAGTGTACTCAAAATAGACTGAATTTTTGGAAATAAAAACCAAGGTGTATTTCTGTAGAAGAAGTAGAAATGCTAGAGCAAGTCTAATTTTCCTGTAACAATATTATTTTCCTGTTTTTAAATGCTTTTGGGTTTTATTTTTGTTTTTAATTACGTAGGCACCAAAATGGTATCCTCTGCTTAGTAACAAATATACTAAATTTAAATCTGAAATACAAGTAGGTGTTGTGTTGGAGACTGATTCAAAAGCACTGGTCGATGGCTTTAAAGCAAAGGAGGCACCCCCTAGAGAAGGGAAGGGTAAGTTACATGATAAGAATATCACTCACTTTGAATTAAAAATGTTCCTGTGCCAGATGAACTTATCACTTGTTGCAAATGTGTTGTTTTAAGTCTCAAGAGAATTTTAATTTCATAGCATTTCCAATGCAAATCCTTTACAGCTGATTAATGTACTTTGTGGTAATAACTTGACAAGGATGTTTTACTGTTGTAATTGTGTGGCTTTCAGAGGGACACAGTTGCAAACCAACTGATCTTTAAAATCAGAATCAGGGACTCATAGTTTACTCCTGTGGGCATTTTACTCATATTTCAGGGCTTTAGAAAGTTCTGTAATGAAAGAAATCAAAAAGGAGCTTTTACAGAATGCAGTTTCAGTAGTTTGGGCTTGGAATGATATAGTAGTGCAGTATTTCATTTGTTGGGTAGGCTGCTTCTCTTTTCGGATGGGTTTTTCATGTAATCTAAATCATTCAGTACTTAAATCGTGTTCTATTGGTAAGTTTTTGTAGTCACATCTACTTTAACTGTTGGGACTCATTCCACTTCTGGATTCCCTTGTACGTTCCTCTCAAGAGTAATTAGTGAAATGTGTCAAAAATATGTTAGAACTCAAATATTAATGCTAGTAGGTGTCTTTGTGCTGTGCCCTTCAGTCATTTTTTTCATCTGTGATTTTTTTTTACTTCAAGTTAGTTTAAAAAACAAACCCTTAGAAACTTGATTAAAAAAGACCTCCAAAACTAAACCAGGCTTACCTCTCTACTTCATTTCTAAAAACTGCGCCAATGTTACAAGTAGTGGATTTTCTCCTACTTACGTTAAATACTTTGTGTTCTTGCCCTGAGGGTAACTTTTTTGGATTTCTAAATTCATCATCTGCTTATGATCTGTGGCTGTGGTTTTATAAAAACGAAGTGGTCAGTGGCAATAAGTGTTTTACAAGGTTTCTGGCCCAGACTTTCATGACTTGGCTGCATTGCAGCAAGAGTGGTTAAGGCAGTATCGAAGTTCCAGTGTTATCACTTAGCTTATGCCATCCAGGTTCACAACAAAGCACAGGGGATTTTGCTTACTGTAAAGTTTGTAAAGGAAGCAAAGAACTACTGTAAATTATTTGTTAATCTGCACTTCCCTTGTGATCTTTCTGCCTGCAAGCTGTCCTACCCCTCATGACACTGGCAGAAAATACAAGAAATCCCTTCTGCCTTCACAGAGAACTGTCTTCCACTTCATGCTTTCTGTGGAATAATTAATACAAACAAGTTTGCCAGCTTTTCCCCTTCTTCTGTCATCTCAAGATTAGTCAATACCATATTTAGGCAATGGAGGAAAACAAAAGTGTAGATTTTCTCACTTTAAAGTTTGTTCCAAGCATTGGGTATGACAAAGCTATACTACCCAGTTCTGGTCTAGTCAGATAGTTAAGGAGGTGCTTTCCTTTTATGATTCATACACTTTGATTTTTTTTTTCTTATTTTTTTTGCTTCACTGACCTAAGTGGTCTAAAGTTTCCAGTGTTTGAAGCAGAGCCTTTTGGTTCACAACCAAAAGTGCTGTGTGATTATTACTAATTGGTGTAACCTGAGGTGCTTTGAAATGTATTAAATTACTGGCACTATAGAGTAGAAACTAGTAAACCAGAATACAAACAGCACTGAAGACTTCAGATGAAAAATCTTCAAATGAAACATTCCAAAGGTCTGTGGACTGAGAGATCATACTTCTTTCAACAATTGAACAGGTTGTCACATGCAGTTACTGTCTCGCATTTCCTTAAAGGAGTAAAATAAAGAAACAGCATCATAGTCTAACCTAATGAAATAAAGTTCCAGTCACTGTAATGTTGCTCACTGTAACATTAAATAAAAATATGCAGTAGCATTCTGTCTAGCATAGTGTTCAAAATAACGTTTGTGCCCACTGAACAGAAATTAATTTCAGATTTTTTTGTAGCTATACCTAAGTATATTTAGGGACCTTTTTGTGTTGAAATGCTTTGGAACCAAGCATCAAGATCTTTATTTGTATCCACACATACAGTAATTAAAGGTAAAATTACAATTATATATGATTCCTGCACCAATTAATAAGGTCACAAGTTACTTAATTTTTTTCTTTTCTCTTAGCATCTACCTTTCTTTCTGGACTAGACCCTAAAAGTATTGTACCAGTCTTGAATGAAGAAGAGGGCTATCATCAAATTGGACCAGCAGAGTATTGCAGAGACTACTTTGTCTTGTCTGTAACCATTGCGTTTGCCACACAGTTGGAACAGGTTTGTTTCCTTACTATGTGTAGTTTTTAAGTACTATCCTACATTTGTATTTTCACCTTCCCATGCCTTATTTCTAGTTAGGGTAAGTTTCTTGCAATAAATAGCCTTGTCCCATATAGAATTAATATATGTGAGTTTGAATCTTAAGACTTTATGTAGTGCTTACGTGTCATATTACAGATGAAAGATCAGAATTCTTTTGGAGCAAAAAGTAAGGTAAAAAAGTAAAATTGCATTTACTTTAAATTATGCACTTTTATGAAATGCATGCATTTATATTACAATACAGTATAAAAAGTGTGTGTATGGATAATATCAGTCTTCAGTGTGATGACCATGTGCTGAAGTTCAAACAAGATGAAATACCTTTCAGATCTGTAAGATATATGAAATAGTAAAGTTTATATGTTGCCTAAGGGAAGAACTTGCGAACTTGGATGAAGTGCCATGCTGATGTGATTATTTCAGCTTCAGACCTCAGCTGCTGTGTTTATGCTCTAGTGTACCACACTGATACACATTGTCTGATTTAAGAATATAGGTATGCCCAAGTTACTGTGAAAGCCGTGACTCCAAGTCAGCATGATTTAATTGATCTATAACTCATAATGTATGATAAACTCTCCTCAGTCTTGTCATCTTTTTTCAGAGAAAATAATTTTCCATGTCAGAATTATACGGCCTTGTGAAGTAAATTTACTATGATCACTCTGGGGTAGCTTGTGCCTTTTTAGACATTGAACTCACAGTTGCAGTGGCTGCAGGATGAAGTAGCTGTTTCTGCCTGTTCCAGTCTTTTATTCAATCACATAAGTTATATAATAACTCAGCATCTAATCTGCATTGTTTATTTAAACTGTAAAATGTTTTGTGGAGGCACTAATTTCTGAATATTTGTGCAGTGTTTGACATGGTTCAATATATGATGTCAGTTGCAGTCTTTGGTGCTGATAAATCTTAAGGTAATTCAAATGGGTCATTTTACAAATTATTGGTGTGCTTGTGATGTAAGAGGGTTTTTTTATTATCCAGTTTAGTATTAATATAAGAGTTTTTGTGTGTAGTGCAAGCTAGGATTTAGGTCAGCTGCTCAGTAGTTTGAGATCACTTTAAGCTCTTTAATTTCCATGGTAAGGCTTAAGGATTACTGTAACTGTACATTAATGAAAGAGATACATTCTTTTTTCCTGCATCTTTTTCAGTTAGTTCCTAGTACTATGAAGCTTCCTGAACGACAGCCTGAGTTTTTTTTCTACTACTCCTTACTGGGAAATGATGTCACAAATGAACCTTTTACTGATTTAATTAATCCAAACTTTGAGCCAGAAAGAGCTTCAGTTCGAATACGTAGTACAGCTGATGTCCTTCAAGTTTATCTTTGTGCACAGTCAAAATTGCAGGTAAGCTGTTTCTTCTCAAATGTGAATGAAAATAAATAATGAAAACAAAATAAATAGAATATGGCTCAAGCTGAAACTGGAAAGCATTTCTCTTTACAAAATGAGATTGTATTACAGTATTTTGGCCTAAATATAAGTTGATTCTTTTGGTGATATGAGGGAATCCCTAGCAGCAAGTTTCCCAGCTCAGATGGAGTGCAGTCTCTTTAGTGCGATTGCTATAGTAAGCTGGGTTACATGTCATGATAAAAGGTGTTGCTGAAACGTGATATGCCCAAAGAGCTAATGTGGCATTCTCAAGAGCTCTGAGCTCTGGGACCTGCTCTGCAGTCAGACCATCTGTAACCCACAGTCCTGCTTTGTGCTGCCTGTGATAACCTCACCCGCACCAGCTGCTCGGGTCACTCTTGCCTAAGTTCTAAAATCACTGTCCTCAGCACTCTGTGAATAATAAGGGAGTTCTGGCTTTTTTCCCACTCCTTAGCCAAATACTATTTTTAATACACTACAGCTGTATTTGGGCTGTTACAGGATATTGCTTATCTTTAGCTATGCCTGTAAATGGGGGACGTGGTTTAGTGATGGAGTTGGCAGTGTCAGGTTTATGGTTGGACTCAATGTTCTTAAGGGTCTTTTACAACCTAAATGATTCTGTGATTCTAAATATTGGGTAGTATTGAAAGTGTTTATGGCAATCTGTGTCTGGCTCGCACTTAACTCATTACAAAACGAGAGACTGTTTGCTTGAGGGTAATATAGGTTTTCTAATAACATAGCTGGTAAATAAGATGGTGTTAGCTATACAGAGTAAGTCTTGGATCTGGACCCTTTTGAAGTTATTTTTATTTACCTTATACAGACCATTCTAATTTTGTTATCTGGGTTAGTTTAAGAATGTTTTTATTTAAGTCTTATATTTTTTTGGATTTTTTGTTGTCTGAACTTCTAAATATTTTTCTAATGACAGTTTTTGAGGAAACATATGCACTGATGTGTTTGCAATTTAATCTTAGTCTGTGGTCTTGAAATAAGGTATTTAATATAGCATATATTATATATATGTACATATACAGAGAATTATGCATGTTTTCATCATGTTAAAGAATGACTTTTTGAACAAGAGTTTTCATGAGGTAAGATCCACATCTTGATTTACAGTTTTCTTTCTCTGACTTCTCACTCAGCTTCTTAGAACTTAAGATACAGGATCAGAGCACTGTATTCTGATCCTTAATATTTAATGTATTTTTTTCCAAAAGTGAAGACTGTAGTGGTAAAAGGTGCTAGCTGCCAGACTAGGTTGTGTGTGTGTGTATATATATATTGTATATGGTTGTATTTGTATATGTGTGTGTGTACATACATATGCACACCTGGGTACATTATATTGGCAGCTGACACCTTTTAGCATTAAAGTCTTCATTAAGTGTAATAAATATTAAGCATCAGAGTACAGTGCTCTGATCTGCCAGAACAGAACTGAAGTGACTCTTATTTGGGAAAGAGCAAGTTGGTATGTAAGTTTCAAAGAGTAACTTTCACCGAGAAAACTAAATTACCTTAGAGTATGTTGGTTTTTTAAGATCCTTCTTTTACTTAGGTGTATAAATATTAAGCTGTGGAAGGAAGAAAGTGTTGAGTCAAGTTTTGAAGAAGGAATAGTGATTCTTACCAGGAATTAACACAGTTACTTTATTCCAAAAATCCTTGCTATTTAAGTGGTTTCTAAGTACATGGACAAAGGCTGACCTTGCAAATAACTTTTTTCTTTACCTTGCAATCATGCATTTTATATGCCTATACGTTAAGGGGAAGAGTCTGTGCTGTGTTTAGAAGCCACAGACTATTGAATTTGTCCTCCAGAAGGGATGATATAACAGGTCCTCAGAAGGGCACTGCTACTGTGCTGGCACTGGGCAAATCCTACCTGCTCAATACTGAAATTTCATAGCTGTTCTTATGCTCCTCAAACCACTTGTTCTCAGCCTACAGGGAATACATTAGGGATGACAATTTTAATTTGTATTTATGCTACTTTTAGTAGGGTCTGAACAGACAGTTCAAGTGGAAATGCACATGCCAGTTACTTTCTAGCACTTTCATATGTATACAGATCCATCTTTGCTGTGGGGACCAGTCTCTTGGAAGCACTGAAATACCCCTGTCTGGACTACTGAAGAAAGGAAATGTGGAGATTGATCATCATCCTCTGGCAATAGAAGGAGCATTTGTCCTTGTTCCACCAAATAGAGCTAAACAGAAACTGCCACAGTTGCCTTTGGATATGGCTCCTACTGTTGGGGTATCTGTAATTCTGCAAAGGGAGAGCTTGAGTGCCCAGGTATAGCTTACTTGTTTATTGTGGGTTTAGACACTGTTGCACAGTTTCATGCTAAAAAAAAAAGTGGGTATTTCTAAGTCATATTTGACAGTTAAGTATGTAAAAGAAAACCTGGAAGAATAAGTTGCTTTATATGAATAATCCTTTAGTTGTTTCATTTTTCAATGTCAGAAAAATAATCTCAAACTATAAAAATGTTGTAGACAGAATTTTTCAGTGCAAGTCATGATCAATAAGAAAACTATATCACTTCATTCAGCCTTTGATTCCCTTAAATGCTCCAACTGAACCTAAGGAGCCACAGGAGAAAGTTCTTTCACCTATTAGCGGAAAACCAGAGTGCCTGCAGCAGGGATCCCAGAACGTTCTGTCTCAAGTTGACCACTCTTCTTCAACAGAAGATGAAGCAACAGAAAGTGAAGTGGAAAGTCTTAAGTTTGAAAAAGGCACGAAACTAAAGAAAAAGGGTATGTGGTATATAATTTTTTCCGCAGTTGTCAAGTGTGGTCTTGGATAACGTGCTACTCATTTGTGGTGATAAATTTCAGGCAAGTAAGAATTATTTACAGAAAACAAATAACAGGAGGAGAATAAATAGTAATTTGAACATAGTGGTTGTTGAAAACGCTTGGAAGAGCCAGAGTGGGGATTTGGTGGTGTGTAGATTACAAGTGATGTGGATGGTTATCAGCTTGAAAAATAATACCAGAAATACTTGGAATTCCATGAATTTGAGAATGGGAAGGTTCAATACAATATCCATGAAGAAACTGACTTGCTTATTGAAGAGATGAAGTGGTCTAACATTCACATTTATTAAATAGAAAGGCAGGGGAAATGTGGGATTTTCAAGGTTTCTAAGGAATTTACTATGTGGATAATAAATTGTGAAAACAAACATTCATACTGTACAGATTCCTGGACAAAACCAAGAAGCTGTGTTTTTTGTTTGTTTTTACATTATCCTTTTGTAGGGACTTGGTAGCCCACATAGCCTTCTAAGGCTTCCCTTGTTTTGTTTTTGATTTGAGAGCTGGGTTGGGGAGAAGTTGAAGAGGAACAAAGATGAGAGAGGAAGAAATACTATAATGATGTAGTAAAGCTCAGAAGAAAGAATGTTAGTTTGCCAAACATTACTGAACATGCATCTTCCTAAGAGGTGATTCATGAATAAAGCCAAATGATTGTTTTTCTAATGATATTTGTATTACTGTTCTTTTGAGATTGCTCCTAAAGACACCCAGTTCTGCAGAGGAAACTGTGTGCTAGGACGTGCTCTCAGGATTTGTCTGCTAATTCAGCCGAATTTTCTTTTAATCCTAACAGATCTTATCTAAGCAAGGATTAAGTCCTATATATAGAATGTATCAGGAAAAAGTATTGTGAACCCAGCAACTAGTTTGAATCTGCAGTTCAGAAATCCAGGATTCTGGTTTTTTATTAATAGTAATAATAATTGTATAACTCTGTTTTGGTAAGACGTAAGACATCATTTCACATTTATCTTTCAGGACTGGTGGCTGAGTCTTGCCAAGAGGTTAACAAACAGTATACTGAAGAGCTTCCAGTTTTCAAATCGGAGAGCAAACCAAAGTCACCTCTATTGTCAGATCTCCAAAATTCCAGTAATGCAAAATTTAACAAATTTAGTACATTGAATGAAATTTGAATATAGTAGCAACTTAAATGCATGTTAACAGTAGGCTGTATGCAATTTTTGTTCTTTGTGTGTGACAGCCTTAAACTCCTATTCAGCCATTTCATTGCACCAAGCAAGTTAGTGGCATTATACCTGAATGACTGAAAATTTTCATTCATATGTTGTGCTGACTAGCCGATGTGGAAGTATTATGGAATTTTTCTTTTTTGTATTGCTACTGTTAATGCAAATAAAACACTCAAAAACAAGCAGGAAAAAATAAAGTCAATGCTAGCAATGATGTATTTCTTTAAAAATGACAAAAATAGAAACATTTTAGATAATTAAGAAGGAAGAGGATCAGAAAAACTAGCACTTACAAAAGGCAGTTAACTGCTTCTCTGACAGTAAAGCAGAGAAAGAGGCAAAGAAACTATCTTAAACATCTTTGGAGGATACCTTTTGGAGATCCTGTCTGTAAAACTTGCAGTTTGACCTGTTACTCTTTGAAGGCAGTATTGGGTCCCAGTGTAAGGATGTGAGAAGCCTGGATGCAATTGGACAGGCACTCACTGTAGCTTCTACTTCCTAAATTGAAAAATGGATGTCTCGGTAGGTGGGGTCTGATCAAAGGGCATAAGCAGATGTGCTTTACGGATCTAGCTAGAGCATTTTAGTTCATTTCAATAGTTAAACCTTAGCTTGGGACCAATAGCTGATGATTTCTTACATGAGCACTGCAATTGACATGGTGCTCTGTCTCTTTCAGTCTCAGACTGAAGAGGTTAGTTAATGCAAAGCAAACTAAGTTACTACAAATGATTTTTTTTTTGTAAGCCCACCTCTTCTGCATGCCATCAAGTTCGCTAGGAACTTAGTCTAAACTCTTCTTCAGTGAGATAAACTTACATAGCTTTGAAGACTAATAAAAAAGGGAAAAATATTACAGAATCTTTTAAGAAGATTTGAAGTATGCTGGGTTTTTTGTGTTTTTTCTTTGGAAGCATTAACTTTTAAATAGAGTGTCTATTTTTCATAGTATTAGCTTATATTACAAGGAATTGAAATCTCTTGGGGAGGTAAGCTATCTGTACTTGCATTTAAAATGTGAGACCTAGCTTTAATATATTTTGTTATTTTGGGCAGAACAAATTATTAAAAACGCGCACAAATTCTCGTCTGTGTTTTCAGCTGATAATGGTCCAGTAGCTGCATCTCAGCCCAACCCCGTGGGTGCATCCAGTTCTTCTGAGCCTGTGTCAGCACAGAAAGTTGTCATTCCAGCAGCCTCTCACCATTTTTGCTTTTCAATAGACTTACGAAGTATACGTGGTCTGGAAGTTGGTTTTCCAATAAATTGCATTTTAAGGTACAATTTATTTTTGTTGATCTTATTCTTGGTAAGAACAATATCTTTCTCTTCAATACAAAGCCTTCATAGTCTGAATGATTGCTGGCAATACACTGCGTGATGCCTTTTACCTTTACGTAGCTGGTTGTCAATAACAAAATACTTTGGAATGTTTATCTGGCTCATTACTAAACTTCTGAGCATTGCAGCATTAAAGATATCGTGTAATACTTCACCTGCACTGTAATTTGTATTAAATCTCACTTGAATATCTGAGCTCAGACAATACAGATCGTCATTCGGTCCTTAGACAAAAAGGAGGATTACTGGTCTCCTTACTTTCTGGCTGCCTTTGCAGCTGATCAAAGGAGTGATTTCTGTAGCTTTTGATGTCTCCACCAAGAACTCCTTTTAGTGTTTTAGTAAGAGGCAGTTCACCTGGTTTGTGTGTGACAGTGAATCTAAAGGAAGCACTTCTAGTCTTAAAGAACCAGTGTAGTAAATGCATTATCATTCTGAGAGGTTGTATCAGGGTTTTTTGATAGCCTTTACATACAGGACGCGAACCTTAGTAGGGAGAATTAGCATCTTTTGTTACATTAATTTGTGGAGTTACAAAAAAGACAAGCTTTTTGGATACATGAGACTTGTGCCTGAAGCAAAAGTAGAAAACTACTAGTGCTAGTTTGGAACTATTGCTTACTGATGTTAACATGAAAGAAAATTATGAGAGCACTTTTAGAGAATAAACAGATGTTAGCTGGGAGGTGAATGCTACGTTGGGGGAGTAAGAACTGAAAAGGTGAAGGACCAATTAAAAGTAAGGGTATTGAAACCAGTATCTGTATGCAGGTTGGAGTTTGGTTGTGTTTTTAACATTGCCAGTGAAGAGAGAAACTTTCTTTTATCAACTTGTTTTGTTTTAGGTTTTCCTTAAAGTTTAGGACCAAGAGTTTGTAGGTACAGGGATGATTTTGTTATTTTTTAAAAAAAAAAATTCTACTCATGGAATACTAGTTATTGATGGCATACATGAATTCAGTGGTTCCTAGCAGTTTTTACAGTTTGCCTTCTAGTTTCCATTAGGGCTCTTTTGGTACACATGATGAAGCATATCTTTAAATGGTGAAAGCATTGAATATTTGTGGCTGTGGAGATGCAGCTGCATTTCCTTTGCGTTAGTTGTTCTGACAGAGTTTGGTTCAATATGGTTTTAACTGGTCACCAGGAAGTCTATTTATGTTAATGGTTCTTGGAGTTTGAGCTTTGCCTGAACTAGGGTGAAAAGGTGGGGTTGGGATGCGGGGGGTGGAATATTTTAAAACACAACTAATATAGATTGCATCATTAATGGTTTTCTGTATAGACTATGTTTTAAATAGTATGTAGAAAACAATGTACAACGGATGGAATTTTGTCACATAAAAGCTTTTTCACATAACATTCCAAAAATGAATTTGCTTCAGAACAGTGACAATAAATAGGTTTTCCTGTTTCATGCACTTCAATTTTTACAATCGGTGATGAATACGGCAAGAAACTGAAGAGGAGTAATATCCAAACACATAAATACTAAGAAAAGTTGCAGGGTAAAAATTGCATTTTCACTGTGTATTGGGAACATTATTTCATTCAGGTCTAAACAAGCTCTTTAAACAGTTTTGCACAAGCAGTTGAGGTATGGAATTTTATAAGTGGCAGCATTTGATGCAGCATTTATCTTATTAGTAATGTAACTGACAGCTGACATTGTCAATTTGAGCAAAGCGAAGTTCAAGAGGTTTTTGGCCTCTTTGTTGTAGTTTATCATACACAGAATTGTGCTAGTAGAGTAGTTTCAAGCCACATTGTAAATCATATTGGTAAAATGATTCGACTTTCCTTCTAGTGAATTAAACTCTGGCAATTAAAAACTAAACTCTTCAAATATGACTGAAATTTTCAGGTGGTTCTGACACTGCGTCTATGTATACTTAGTTATCAGTTATTGTGTGTTAGACCAGTCTTAGCTGGTCTATATGCATAGTAATAACATAGTTATAAATGTTCTGAAGTAGCAATCTACATCTGAATAAATACTCCTTTCTTCTATTTCTCTGCTCATTTCATATAATGATTGCAGAATTTTAATGAAAGATTAATTCATATAATTGTGAACATACAGGTTATTAGACCTTTTTTGTCAAAATAACAGCAAATATAAATGAAGCTGGATCAGTGCTGAAGTAAATGAAAACATGAATATTTGAGAACTAAATTCTAGTGTTGGATGTATTTGTGCAAATTTTGCTAACTTTAATACAAGTTGTGCTTCAGTAAAAGATGTCTAAACTAGTTGTCTTATTGCAGAAGGTATAAGAAAAAAGTATCTATTTATTAGATTATTATTTGATTGTTTTTATTATTCTTTTTATTAGGTACTCCTATCCTTTTTTTGGCAGTGCAGCACCTATTATGACAAGTCCACCTGTAGAAGTCAGAAAGAACATGGAAGTCTTTCTTCCACAGTCCTACTGTGCGTTTGACTTTGCAACTATACCTCATCAGCTTCAAGATACATTCTTCAGGTGATAACTTGAATTCTTTTTATCTTAATTACACTTTTTCTCTTTTTCATTGTAAATGCAGTCACAAGTTCAAATTTTTTACTTAAAATCATCAGTTTGAGAATTTAGTAAAGAATCCAAGTGCTAATGCCAATGAATATTTAATACACTGCTCTTCCAGTTTCTCTATTACTTACATTTAAAGTAGGGACTCTAAAATTCTGGCTTTTACCTCTTGACTTCTTATACAGGGATCATTGCTTACAGAAACAAGTGGTGTTGCTGTAAGTTGTTAAATTAAAGGCTGATAGCATAGTTTTGTCAAAGCATTACTTCAAATGAAATAAGTTTTTTTATTTTTCTTTTTAATTACATGGTGACTATCCGATATCTTTGAAAATACAGCATGTACCTAGGAAGCTGAGTACAGTGTTGAGGGCTGTGGCACAATTTTCCCAGTAGTCCCACCAGTTTTTGGTAACTGATTAAGAAGTGGAATAAGGAATCATCAAAATGGTGGTATTTTAAAGAAGAGGTGGAGGAGATGTATTTTGAGTGCCAGTGACTAAAGTTTATTTATACGTATTTATAAATGAAGATGATCTGGGTCTGTTAAGATTATTCAGTCAATCACTTTCACTGCAGCATTGTTCTTTCTAATAACTGGAGAAAGGAATGATAATCTGACCAAAGTGAGTAAGTGATGGAGAAGATACAAAGTAAGTTAGTCTTGTTCCTCTGAGTGAGAGGCCGTAAACCCATCTCATTGCTTGACAATTGTGACCATCAGTGGTTTGGGAAGTTACTTTTAGAACCTGAGGTCCTTTTCCCAAATGCATAGTAATGCTTCCTCTTTTGTGTTGATGCCTGACACTAAAATCACTTCTTTGTTTCAGATTACCTCTGCTGGTTGAATTGTGGCACAAGGATAAAACAGCTAAAGACTTACTTCTAGGGGTGGCGAGACTTCAGCTTTCAAATGTTTTGGCTTCAGAAAAAACCCGGTTCTTGGGTGGTAATGGTGAACAATGCTGGCGTCAGACTTGTAATGAAACAGTCAGTGTCACAGCAGCACAAGGGTAAAACTATTTTAAAAAATTATGGTAGCAAGTTTTTAAGAATTGTTTGTTTTGTATTTCCCTGAAAAAGGACAAGCTCTTCCTCTTTACCTTTTTGAATAGGTAAACAGGCTGCACGGTACTGCCATGTGGGGGTGGGAATAAGCATTCAAGAGATTAAAAGTTAAATTGCCACAGGCATGTTCTGCAACCCCACACCACTACCAGATTTATCATAATAAACCTTTTATATAATCATGATCTTGGGGAGGTTTCACAGACAGATTAAAGAAATGAATAATTGGAAAAAATGTTATTGAGGCACTTTCCTGAGTAAGTTACTTAATAATTACAAAAAGCTGCTGATATTCCAGAAAATAGTGAAGACTGTTTAACCATAGTATGCTTTTAGGTGCAACTGACTTCAGTGAAAGTTAGGAGGATGGATATATCCATAGAGTGGAGAGGTTTACTGTTAGTTCCCTGATAGTAGCAAGGGTTTGAGCTTGTGTACAGCAGGAGTACTGTTATTAGTTAATATTCTGTTTGAAGATAAATGTTCATTTATATAGAGGAGTGATGTTCTTTTATGTATGTGAAGAAACTTAATTTATAGTTACTTCTGTCCTGTGTCTTTGAAGATGTGAACTGTGCTAGCAATCAGTGTCTAGACCCTCATCTTTTTCTGTGTGATAATGGAGCTTGATTATGCCTTTAGAAATAAATATAATGGCTATTAACACTGAGGTTGATTTTAAACCTCTAATCTTGCAGATAATTAAAACATGCTATATTTGACAGACAGGAAACTTCAGGTTACTGACACAAAGGCTGATATCCTCCCTCCTCTGAAATTGATAGAAAATCGATCTCTGACTTTGTTTAAACTTTTTTGCGTGAAAGCCAGCATGGCCTGATTCTGTGGAGAGTTAACTTTATAATCTCACTGTACATTAAGGTTCACACTTTCACCAATAATATTCGATAAAATGAAACCTAGTTTTGCACAAAACTTAATAACCACTAGATGGCATTCTCAAAATGTAATCAGGTCAGCATTTTGCTGTGCTGATACCTTTCTAGCTTTACTCTTGCTGATGTAACATTGTTTTTACACTGATATGTTAAACTGATTTAATTACTCAGATTTCTGAGGTGCACTACCTTGAACCTTGTTTTTTTTAATCAGTGACTCATAGAAAGTTGTAAGAATTTAATGCACTAATTTAACTTAGGTGAAGTACAAATGTTTGGTGTTTTTTTTCCCCTTGCAAATAACTGTGTAGAAGATTGCACCTTTGTAAAAATATTATAACATCATCTTTTTATATTCGTTGGAAGAGAATTTCCGTGAAAACTACAGCCATGGTTAATTCCTGCAGGCTTTTTTTTTTGCAAATTGCTTGATAGCTAATTCTGCAGCTTCCAGGCTTCAAGTAGTTGTGTAATTGCCTTTACATCATTGAGTAGTTATAACTGAAATTAGTTCTGTTTCTGATCAAGTACAGGTCTACGCTGCAGTGTACTTTCATGTTAGACTAGTGATAACTTTCAGTAACGTGATTTGTGCGTATTCCTTCTCTCAGTATCTTTCTGTGCACAAAACCATCTTTGTTTACTACATTTTTGTCTATGATTGAGACAGCAGAGACAAATTGCTTTACTTAAGCAGAAACTGCAACTAATTTAAAATTAGTTTATTAAAATATCAGTTATCTACTCATTTTTTCACTTTACAAGAACAGATAGATATTTAACCTATTAGTGGATTTAAAGTTGTCAGTTCTCTGTGCTGAAGCTTCCAGAAATGTGTTTTTTACTAATCCAAGGATGGCTTACTACACATAAGTGATTTACTGTACTGTGGATAACTAGAAAGTTACTGTTAACATCTACAAAAACAAGACTAATGAAATTCGTTGAGTATCTTAGAACGAAGCCAGCAGCAATACCTGTATTCAACAGATACATTTGTCAGAAAGATTTAAGCCTGCAGGTACAATTTTGGATCATTCTCTTGTTACAGGGGTATGTTGGTTATAGTAAGCTGTTAGTTGACTAGGTTCCCAGTGACAAGTTATCTGTTAAAGTCAGAAAGCTTACTGTAGCTATATAAATCAGTCTCTAAGTTAAAATAGTATACATGGGAGAACATGTTTGGGCTCTCACATAGGCAACTGTTTAGAGCCTCTGAGCTTGTACAGAACCTTTTAGCACTTCAACTTTGCTATTGTGTGTTTTCTTACAATTCACTTTCTGTATTTTTAAGACAGTTTTCATTAAAATAACATTTATAGGTCAGTCAACAGAATAGCAGAGCTTTCATATACTATCACTTTGGAAGACTACGGACTTGTGAAGATGCAAGAAGTTCTGGTGTCAGATTCTTCTCAAGTAAGTTTTACATAAATCTTATCCTTTATCCTTGAACACTTCTTTGAAAAGTTGGGTTTCCAGTTAAAAAACCACTGTTATTTTATCAGTGTGTAGGTGCTGGTCAGCAGCGGCATGTCCCTCACACTCAGCCTCGCTGTGCCCCAGAAAACCATCCAGAACCTCGAGAAACTCTTGAATACAAAGCAGCGCTGGAGCTAGAAATGTGGAAGGAAATGCAAGAGGACATTTTTGAAAATCAGGTTTTTACTTTGTTTACTTCCTAAACTGTATGACTGCCAAAGAAGCTTTAGGAGAATTGGTGAGAGGAATATTAATTGCATTTTTCTTAAACTTTGCCACTGTTTCAAATAAGAACTAAGTTTTGCTCATATAGAATATTAAAACTTCAGATGTATACTAATATCTTCCATACTCTTAAGGAAGAAGGTTAATTTTTTTCTGTTAAATGACTGAAGTAGTGAAATACCTACTGACTAGGTAGTGAAATACAGAATACCCCCTTCACAATTTCCCCTTTACTGTTTATGAAGTACAGTAGATATTAAAGATTCAGATTATTAGTGTTAAATATTAACACTGCATTTCTTTATTCTCAGTCAAAACCCATTGCTGTGTTTCCACTCTTGAAGTCATTCTAGGTGTTCTTAGTCACATGCTTCTTTTTAAAAGATACTGAGAATCTAGTGTCTAGATTTTTTTTTTCTCCAACTTGGGCTTATATTGCATTTTCTACTTAAGGATAAGAAATATCTTTCACTATCAGAATCGTACCTCGAGTTATATAAGTCAGTGTACTAAACTTAGTTTTTAATTCTTTTGCTTCAAGGCTTAGTTCTGCTAGTACTCTCTCCTTTAAAGTTGCATTTCCAACAACTTTGATTTGCTTCTGTGGTTTGGGGTTTTTGTTCCTTTTTGGCTTTTAAAAGCTTAAAAAGAAGGAAATGGCTCATATGCAAGCGCTTGCAGAAGAATGGAAGAAAAGAGATAGAGAGAGAGAAGCATTAGTGAAGAAAAAGGTAAGGAATCTCATTCTTATACCTGCTGAAAGTCTCATTATGAATCTCACATTGCTATAAAATTTGACAAGATATTTCGTAACTATAACATAAAACATAGGCCTGTGATTAGTCTTCACACCTACTGGTATGCATGCATCTAGTCTACAACAGTGCAAAAAATTGAAACTATCCCTTAATCATGGAATACTTGTTAGAAATCCTTTAGGTTAACTTATTTTTTTAGGTGGGCTTTTTAATTGCCTTTCACTTGCATGGCCAAAAAGCACTTCTACAGCCCAGCTGTGCGTGGTTACCTGTTAGCCTTTATTGTATTAAAAGGCTGTCCATCATGATTTCATCATTAAGAGCTGGAGATTTGTTTCATATGTAAATCTCCAAACAAAAATTGTCAATTTTTTATGTCATAACAAGAGTAAATTTTCACCTGCCTAAAACATTATTTTTATTGCAAGAAAAAAAATGCGGGTTTTTTTTTGTTTTTTGAGGTAGCAGAATATACTGTTTTGGAAGAACAACTTCAGAAAACCCTGCGAGATCTAGATAAGCGAGAACGACAGCTTTTTAGTGCTGAATCAGAGGTAAAAAGTGTTTGGTCATTTTAGACAATTCAATGGCATGAGCTGTTTCTATAAGGTTTGTTGAGTTTTCGTATAGCGATAATTGTGCCCTGTGTATAAGAACTGAAACAGCCACGTTCATACTGATACATAGAGGAGCAGTAATATTTTAAGCCAAGTTTTGTTACAACTACACTGTTTTACTGAAGTAGAAATTCAGTGAACTTTTAAGTGAGTTGCTAGAATTATAGAACTGTAAATTTTCTGTTATTAACAGAATTAGAGTATCAGTGGAGACATCTAACACTAGCATATTTCAATTTTAAGTTTAGTACTGTCAAGTGAACATTGTACATGTGTATAAGACTGCCTTACTTCAAGCAGTAATTCCTAGAGTAACCTTTGAAATAGGAGATGGTGACAAGGAGAGCTGAGAGAAACTGTAGTTGTCCAGGTTTTGTTATCCAGTGATTTGATAGAGTTCCTATTTCGTGGTTTTTTTTTTTTATAGCGACAGGGCCAAAGAAGATGCAGGAGAAACCAATAGCTACCACTGTTTCTAAATCTCACTGAATACCCCTGAGATGTGGAAATGGGGTGCGAGTCCTCAGGGAAGCTAGTTGTATGGAAAGAGAAACAAAGAAAATAAACTTCCTATTTTTGTACTACAGAACAAACTCACAATTACATAGGTAAACTGCTGTGGTGATTTAGCAGTCCAACAAACTCTCTTTTCTCCTGTAGCTCGGATTAATCTTTTCATCATATCAGTCCCTCCTGTGCTTGTGAACAAAGTTAAAGCTCCCAACACAGGGACTGGCTGGTTGAGCCTATGTCCTGTTCTGTACTCAGGCTCTCCATACCCCTCAAGATGCAGTTTGTGCTGTAAATAGTGCCTGACTTTACCTTTAACATCTATGCAAAAAATCTGGTGATTAGGTTTGGCTGAATGCATTTCAGTCTGAGTAAAAGTATTTCTTTTGAATCTCATACATGTTTGTCTCAAAACTTGCTCTAAATTTAGTGAGATTCTGACCTGAAGGTTTAGAGATAATAAAAATCAGTGGATTCCAAAAGCGTCTAGACAAAATGATGTAGGGTTCATTTAGCAATTACACAGTTTGAGAAATGGGCCATTTGGACATGTTTCTATTCAGCTAGCAGTTATCTGAGCCAGTAACATCTTTCTAGAAAGTTCAAACATGTCAAGAACTGTTTTCCTGTTTAGCTCAATGAGAAATTCTCTTAATATGCTCAGTTTGAAGAGTGCAATCTTACTGATGTAAAGGCATCTTGGCTGTAGCTGTGACTTCACTGTTTCTGCCATGAAGGGGTGTATTTAGCTTTTTAGTTTGTAGTAGAAAGGTGGATATAAAATTTGCCTTTAACAATCCCATGTAGAAAGTACAGTAGAGATACAGATAACTCAATTTTTAAAATAGTCAAGCAAGAGTATATTTGTAGCCCAAATAGAGTAATTTTCAGGTCATTAGTTAAACTGAAAGTCAATAAAAGAGTATGTAGCAAACATATAGATAACAATGGAATTTCTATTGTTTATTTTCTAAAATGCATAACAATTTTTTCTGTCATGAATAGTAGTAACAGTTGTAAAAAAGACTTAAAATACAGATCTTGCACCTATGGATTAATATAAATTTGTCTCACTTCTAAGCTTCAAAGAGTAAAGAAGGAGCTGCAAGCAGAGCATGAACGAAATTTGCAGGAGCTACAGGATTCTGTGCGGCGAGCCAGAGAAGAATGTGCACACCAGGTTGAGCTAGAAAGGTCAAAAATCAAACAGCTGGAAGAAGACAAGCTTCGCTTACAGCAGCAGGTAAGTACACTTAAATTTTCTGTATCAACCATTTACTAATTTAAGTAAGCATTTTTTTAAAGTAAGTATAGTAAGTTGAGCAATGATTTTGAGGCAGGTGCATATTGGCAACTTCGTAGTAAATATTTTATCTCCGTTGTTCAGTGAGCTATTTGCTGGGATCCATCTCTTCCCAAGTGTTGCTCAGTAGTAGGGCCAGTTTGCAATGCAGTGGTTATAAGTTGTTTTTTTAACACTGAAAATCAAACTGCAACTGCAAGCATACCTTACATGTAGAATCTGAAGAGCAGTATACATTTCAATAACTTAATAAATTGTTAGCAATTTACATCTAGTAAAACATTTAGGTAGCTTGACTATGCAGCTCATTTTATTCTTCTATTGCAAAGAGTATTTCCGTTATCCTTATTGGGGCAGGTGGGGGGGGGGGGGTTTTCTTTGTTTTTTGTTTT